CTTTTTCCTTTGCCAACTTTTACATTGCGAACTTTTGATGTTACGAGCTTAATACCTACATACTCTTTCCTGATGAACATTTGGTATATAAAATATGTCCACGAATAATCGCCATGCGACATCTTTGTATGCGTGCATTTTCCGCAATCTCGGCTGGGTCACAGCGCAGCATTCAAAACTACAGACCATGTCAGTCATAAGCCGTGTGCATAAAACCATGTGCTGCGCGAGCAACATAAGGTTAAAAATTTTGCTCACGCGCACGGGTGGCCGGTTGAATACCCTTTGCTCGGGTGGGGCTCAATTTGGCCGTCCTGAGATCTCGGAAACTAAAAGAGCTAGAGACACCAAATTCACAGGGTGTGTTGACCCGTACGTGAACTCACTTGACCTCGGTCAAAATTTGAAGTCCCTGGGTCATGACCTTCAGGTCAGCCAAGGTCAAACAAGGCCAAATTTCAGATTAGTCTCCAAAGGGCCCCTAGAACCGAGGCAACCGTCGTAAGCAAAATTGCAAACGCTCAGTTAAGGTCCGTCACCTTGTTTGACCTTTTAAAGGTTATGATGACCAAAATGACATAAGACTGTTCTGAGTTTTGCATTTGGATAAGCAACAAAGATTACGCTAGGCAGCGTGCTCCTAGAAACAAAATGTTAACCTGGGTGATTTTAGGTCAGTGACCTATTCTGACGTATAAGAAGTCCATGGAAGGTGTATTATGCGGTTTCCGCTATCGATATATTCGAAATGAGCACCAGAAACCAGCCCATACGGGAAACCCGAGAGTAATAAAACAGGTTGGTTTTGACCTTGGTCTGATTTTCATGCCTGACCCTAGGTCAATGCTTTTTGTTTATTCAGTTGTTGTGTTGCCTAAGAAAGAATCTCAGGGATGTCTGGCTTCGTCTAACACTCTGTTGTTTGATCGGATTGAACGATTCCCTAGAACGTGCCTTCGCTGAAACCATGGCCTGACTTTGACCTGCCATAGGCCAGCGACCTTAAAAGGTACATCTAGATTTTTGATGTCAGACGGTCCGCTATTCAATTGTCTACAGGTACGCAAAATGTTGCGCGGTTACCGCCGCGCCGTTCGGAAACCATCCTGGGAAAACCTTCCGGGGGATCAATTTGACCCCCACCCCCACTCGAGCGCGTGTTAAAGGATATAGGGCCTTTAAGAAGTTATCGATCGATAACCCAAAGTTGCGTCATGTTGAGCCACCATTAAACTGGCCTGGCATTTGAACTCAGGACAAGTGAATGGGTCAAATCATCACTGAAGATCGGTGCTCTTGAGGGTCATTCCACGTCGTCAAATTGGCCCGGGAATGTTGGCTTAACTATGGGACGATTAGCACCGAAAAATACTTACTTCGGCCATCATTGGCACCAACTAAGCGGGGTCCTACCTTCGAGATACTGACATAGCACTGAATATTTCACCATCTAAGATCACTTTAAGTGCCTTAGCTTCAAAGCTGTCACCATTTGGATATGCATGGGTGTCAAGCAATTCCAAGCCCGCTCAAGATGTAATTTCAAAACAAGAATAACGACCTAAACCTGAACAATCAAATGGACATTCCCTCTCTGGAAATGCTTGATAAGCTCTGTAGCGAAACTCAACACAATCACAGGCGCAACCGAATGGAGGGTGGCGGAGCCCGCTCTCTTGGCCGTATTATAAAAAACACAGATCGCTCCTGATGAAATTTACAACCCGGCGTGATGCCTTATCACCTAGTTCTCCGCTCCCCCCCCCCTCCGCATGAAAATCGTTGCTATGCTCCTGGCCACGACGGTCGTTTGTGTAAAGAATACGTTCTCCCAGAGAGCGTGAACACTCCGAGGAATTTCTCCGGATCCGGAGCAGTCGGTGCGGCACGCGCGTGAAATGGTAAACCGCGCGACAGGTAAGGGAGATGGCAGCCGGCGAAGCAGGCGAGGGAAATGGCAGCCGGTGCTGCAGGTAAGGGAGATGGCAGACGGCGAAGCAAGTGAGGGAAATGGCAATGGGTGCAGCAGGTAAGGGAAATGGCAGCCGGCGAAGCAGGTGAGGGAAATGGCAGCCGGTGCCGCAGGTAAGCGAATTGGCAGCCGGCGAAGCAGGTGAGGGAAATGGCAGCCGACGGAGCAGGCGACGAAATGATGCAGTTGTGCGCCGTTGGGACGACAAGCAGACCACAGATGTGTCGTATGTGAGCGTGTGGGTGACGGGACGTGAAAGTGTAGATCACGATCATACTCTTGCGTCGAAAAATGCCCTTGTCGATGTAGCGGTGGTTTGAGTCTTCGGGCGCTTATCACAGTGCAGACATTCAGGTGCTGAGATTTAGCTCCCACTCCAGGTGTGCCGATTAACGCTGGTCCGGTGGCGTGCCGGCGGTCAGCCACTTAAGGCCTTAGTCGGTTCCCAAAACTAGCACAACCCCGCCCGAGCCGGCCGTATGGCGGCTACCCTGCCGCTTGGTGGTCAACTGGTTAGCTGTGGCAAAGGCGCCCTGTGCGCCTGCGCACTGGCCGCCTGTGACCCGCCAGTCGAGTCAAATGCGCCGCTGAATATTTTATCGCCCTTGAGGTCACTGAGATCATTCAGGTTACAAGGACACCACCTGCTGGTGCACATAGGAAGTTGGGAGAGGTCAAGACTGCTCAAAAATGGGGAGGGGCGGGCTCGATGTCTCGCTTTTTGGCCTCGGAATTTTGCCGCCACCGCGACTCACGATGTCTTTCCGTCTTTTCATCACTCTTCCTGCCCTCAATCTCACTTCATTCCGCAAGCTTGCGATGCCCCGTTTAGCCGAGCAAGATGCATGCGTCAGTCATGAGTGGCCTGAAGTGTTCCTGGTATGATCCTCGTCCTAGCGCCGAGCACATACCCCGTACAGAGGTCCCTGTGCGGGCCAAGTCCCGGCAGAGAGCCCCCAAGCGCATTTTTGCCATTCCCCAGTACATCCGGCATAGGTTTTTTAACAAATAATCGGGGCCATTTTCCTTATTGTGGTATCATGCTTAGTTCCTGCAGTAGCAGGAAGGTGGACTTAATTTAACCTGTCAGTCATGTTCGCCATTGTTCGGTCACACCTATCTGATGCAGTTTGACGAGAGCTTTCCGATGGCATCTTTCGCGTGGCTCCAGCCAGCTTGGCTTTTGAGATATGATCGGGGACTGCTAAGGCCTCCCCTCGCTGGGTGACCGTGAGCTGAAAAAGCGCCCACAAGGGAGGGTTGAGGGGCCTCTGTCTACAAATCAATAACAACATTTCGACGTATAAGCTTTCAAGAAAATAACATCTAGCTAATAAGCATTAGGCTAAAGCGCATTTCGTCCAAGTAGAAGGTATTCAACCGAAAACATATTTCGGTAGATAGCATTCCACTAAAGAACATGCAGGCTAACTAACATTCGACTAAATAACACCCCGGCATGTGGCAATTAACTAACGCCATTTCGGCAAATGAACATTTTAATAAAGAATGTGTCGGCAGGCTGGCATTCAGTTAGTATGTATTTCGACTTTTGAACATTTCCAGCAGTTTGACACGCCGGCAAAAATGTATGTCGGCAAATCGACGTTCGATTTTTATCATTTCGCCCAAATGACACGGCGGCAAAAAAGATGTGCCGACAGAAAGGCATTCAGTTAGGTGCATTCCGCGTTATTTCATTCATTCCGCATTCGTGTTATTTGTCCCGATTCCAGTCCCGCCCGGGGACTCTACCGGGCTGCGGGGCGGGGCGATTCACTCCCTCGTAATCAAAACGCCCGTCCCGTTTCGGGCACCTCAGACACAGGCTTTCGATATGAAACTGATATCAAACTGATTTCGATATCAAATTTGATGGGAACCACACCTTGGCAGCTCAAAGCGGAACGCTATGGCGTCAGAAAATGGCAGCCGACGTGGCATTTGTGAGGGAAATGGCAGCCGGTGCGGCATTTGTGAGGGAAATGGCAGCCGGTGCGGCATTTGTGAGAGAAATGGCAGCCGGTGCGGCAGGTGAGCCATGAGTGGCAGCCGATGCGGCAGGTGAGCCGTGAATGACTGCCAGTGCGGCAGAAAGGGGAAATGACAGTCGCTCGCTGATGTCGTTGAGCTTTGATGGGAGTGTAAACGAAACGTAACAAGGTGAAGGGAGGGTTATGTTTTGGGGCGGAACGTTACGCTCAGGTGTGACGGCAAATAACGCCCAAATATGTTAAAACGTATCACAGAACCACGAAGCCGAGCTACTGGCTTCAGCCTTCCACTCGTGACAAGCAACAGATGGGCCTTTGACTTGAGTCTTGCGTTCACTTACGGGCTAAATGGATGCGATCTTTTTAGGACGTTGCGCCCAACACAGCGTAGCCAATGAACAGGGATTTTCGCGCACCAGTGGGTAGCCAGAGGGAAAAGGTTGAAAAATGACCAAGCATGCGAAGTCAAAGTATGAACGACGGGCGGTTAGCCATGCACGGTAATGTAAGCTATTCCAGCCGGTGCCTAAGGAAACTGCACATCCGGTGCGGCGGGCAAAGGAAATGGCAGTTGGCTCGGCATAAGGGAAAATGGCAGCCGTTAATGTAGGTAAAGGGAAGGATTATTCATTTCTGGTGCTGATTGGGGTAATAAGTCTGTGGCCGATGTGTGATGTGTGCTAGCGCGTGAGTGGGGCGGGGGAGGAAGGCAGGTGTGGGTCACGATCGCGCCTCTGTGTTGACGGAAAATAGCTTGCTTCCCCGGCTGTGTTTTAAATGCAGCCATTTACGCTCTGCAATCTAGCTCTCATTTCAGGTGCACCGGTTAACGTGGCGGGTGCAGCGTCCGTGATAAGCCGCTTATAATCTTAGTCGGTTCCTGAAACTAGCGCGACCCTGCTGCCGCGCCGGCCGTATGACGACCACCCTGCCACCTGGCGGCCGACTGCGCAGCTGCAGCGGAGGCGGCCGCCTCCGATCCGCGAGCCGAATCAAACGCGCCGCGTGGCGGAGCGTCGGAGGACGTGAGCGGGTCGCTGTGTGGAGTGACGAGCGTGTCACCGTGCTGGGGTCGAGACCGGGCGTCGCCCTGAGCCGTCAGTCGCATCGGACCCACGGAAAGCAACCAGGTGAGCTATGCCGACGGACCAGGCTCGGTTCTGCGTGCAGCGTTGGCATGGGACCGTGTGGAAACGGTGCCCGTCAGCTGGACAGCTTTGCGGACCGCTACAAGGTCACCGGGCATGCTTCTTTTACTTATGGCGGCAACGCGTGTGGAAAACGGCTTTCGAGCGTGGTGGTGAATGGCGCTAATACGCACCTGCGGCTGCGCGTGGTGTCGCCGGATTCAAGGCTCAAGGTGGGCCGGTGCTCGTCGCCCGGGCGCTCTGTTGAGAGCGCGACGGTATTTAGAGGCTCCGTTCGGGACCTGTCTCGCAGCTATCCGGGCGAGCCGTTTGTGGAAACGAGTGGAGGTCCGGAGGTGCCATCATTCGTCCTCGGGTGCAAGCTTGCGGTCGGAGACCGGCCAGCTGACACAACGTCGGGCTGGAGCGCAGCTGTGTGTCGGCGTGCAGAGTATCATGTCGCGATATTGTAAGTGTCATGTAAGAAAATGTGACAAGGCTACTTGCAGGCCGCATAATATGAGCCGTTGGCATGCACGTTAAATTTCGATATGGCGATACGCTTTGACTGGCTGTTAATAGTGAGCCTATGTAAGTTATTCGTTTACTTTGTCTGTTGGATTGTAGCTGTTTGAGATCTACTATTGTCCTGGAGTTGGCGTCATGAATTATTATCAATAAAGGGTCCGACCTAGACATATTCTGCCGCCGGCAAACGTCTGCCTGATTTCAGCAAATTGGAATCCATCTCCGGAATCGGATCAGGATTTGGCTCGTTGGAGTTATGACTTAATCAGATTCAGAGTTGGTCCACATTGTTTTCAACAGTATCAGAATTTACTCATCTCCATTTTGAAAATGATTCTGCCACGTGGAGCGTTTACATGGTTGACTTGACATCGCGCGGTGTGTTACCCGTTGGAGTGTGGAAAAATTAGTTGCAAAATCAAAATGTGTGCCTCACCTTCCCGGTTTGTGTTTATGCAGAGGGTGGGATGGGACACTGAGGGCATCCAGATGCCAAGGATTTCACGGATTAAAGGCGGACTGCCCTGTCCTCTTACGCTGGGATTGTCCATATCTCCAGTCATCTTAAGCATGTCAGTATTCACATGCCGCGAGAGTTCCTGTAAACACCAGAAGCACGATAATCATGCTCTTATCCCCTAATACAACTCACACCATGACAGCCTACAGCGCAGTTCTATCACTTACCCACCTGAAGGGCTTTGATACCGTTCGGAATGTAGCCAGACACACATACAACCCTATTGCATATAAATGTTTGTGTATTTACCGGTGTAATTATTCATCCGCTGTACTATTTTCAACACTTAAAACTTTATTTTGATTCGCATTCAGACCTCATATATGCTTTTGTACCGGAGTGAGATTCGAATTAAATTCCAGCTTGCAACAGTCGCTTTGAAGCAGCCTCCGGTTCAGCTCCACTGACTTTGATTCGGATCTGGGATTGATTCTAGCTTAGCAAAACCGGGCGCAAGTCTCACTGCCAAGGCTATTTTGAAAACGTCTGCATCTCAAACATTGCTTACAGACCACTATGGACAAGATAGGTGCACAGTTATAGTAGCTCTAAAGCACAAATACCAAATAATACACAAATATGTCGAAGGCAGAAAAAGCATTTAGCATGTGGCATGCAGTTAGACGCCGTCATTACTCCGAACGTTGTCCATTTGCAATGTTATTCACTCGGTGTAAATAGCATACCCGTGTCCTGAACCGTGTGTTGTAAACATTGTGTCACGGCTAACAATAGTCTATAAGTTATCCACTAAGTGTGGGGCCCAGTACATCGACCCCACCACGCCGTCGCGGGCAAGTAGCCCGTCGGGAACCCGGAGCCCCATTGTTAGGGCCTCAGTGGAGGACGTATCTGAACCAAGATCACTTAAACGCGTGTCAAAACTGAGCGAGGCTACATCCCATATCCTCTCCTCCTCATCCGCTGCGGACCACATATACCGAAAACCCTCCAGCACCCGTGAGACAAAGCCCTGCATGTAGCATGCCACCCCACAGGCACGACTGGTCCACTGGGAGCGACTCCGGCCGCCGCCCGGGAGGGTCCTCCCGACGCACCGGTCAGCCCATCGGCTTCCGTCAGGCCGGCCGTCGGCTCTCGTCAGGCCGGCCGTCGGCTCTCGTTAGACTGACCGTCGGCTCCTGTCAGGCCGGCCGTCGGCTCTCGTCAGGCTGACTGTCGGCTCTCGTCAGGCCGACCGTCGGCTCTTGTCAAACCGACCGTCGGCTCCCGTCAGGCCGACCCGCCGGCTCTCGTCATGCCGACCGTCGGCTCTCGTCAGGCCGGCCCACTGGTGCGTGGAGACCTACCGACCCTGTCACGAGACACGTACCGACCCTGTCACGCCGGCCGTCGGGGCCGATCAGCTGAGTAGGATAACGGCTGGGTCGGGCCGTCTTCACCGCATGGCGTGCGTCACGGTGTGCGCGCCTTGTGTCGATCCCGCGTCTCCCAGACCGCTCGACAGTGGGCGGCGTATCCCTCAGGCGTCATGGCGTGCGCCCCTGTGTCGGTCCCATGTCCCCCAGACTGCGCGACAGTAGACGGCGTATCCCCCAGGCGTCATGGTGTGCGCGCCTGTATCGATCCCGTATCTCCCAGACCGCGCGACAGTGGGCGGCGCATCCCCCCAGGCGCCATGGTGTGTGCCCCTGCGTCGGTCCCGTGTCCCCCAGAGCGCGCGAGAATGGCCGGCGCATCCCCCGGGCACTATGCCAGCTTACCCCTTGATCCGGGATATCGATGAGACACGTAACGTAACGTAGACACGGATCACGACGCGCTCCCGCTCATCAACAGCCCTTCAACCAAACTTGCATAGGTTTGCTGGAACACACCGAAATGCCTCGTTTTGACTCCTAGGCAGGTGCGGATCCACGGTCCAGCAGGCCGTCTGGCGCGGTTGGCCCGCGTGGTCGGCGCCTCGGCGCTCACGGCTGGGACGGCGGCGCACGGCTGCTGCAGGTAGCGGCCCGGTTCGTGTCTCAGATGGCTGCTCGCGCCACTCGCCACGCTAAGGCCGGCCTGCTTTACGGCGGCACGGTCGCTGGCGGTAGTCACGGCGCGCTAGACACGCTTAGAAGTTTTGAATTGCATGAGCCCATGCTAAACTCGCCGGCATGCGCTGAGAGCCGCCTTCATGTCGCTCGAAACGGTCATAGCTCATAACGAAGGGAGTGCAGAGGCGTAAAACTGACTTTGTGTGACTTAGCCCGTGCAGTCTGCTTCTTAGTTGGATCATTATTTAGCCGTACGTTTGAGAGTTTGTTTTGCCTATGGTGATATAGTATTAGACAGAGGCGCAATGTGTGCAAAAAATACGTGCATTAATGTTCAGATATCGATCAGTTCAAGTTTAGTTGCAATTGTCAATGGAGGTGTTCCACGAAATATATGGAAGGCTTGGAGTCCTATATAAGCTTCATTAACTTCTGTATATGCATTACATATTACATGTCTCATATGCCATTCGATCCAATTAATGCATCTTGTTTGTATGGTACATGCCTTATATGATTTTTGATAAAACTACTGTCTATTCATCGCATAAATTACATTTTTTAGATACCGATTTACGCATTACTGCACATATCACGTTTCATGCCATATCGTATGTTATCTTTCGTACAGCGTCAAACAATTTTACGACGCACGACTCTCGGGTTTTTGTCGCCACCTGTTGCATAATGCACGGCACATGGGACCGATTTATAGGTGTCCAAACAGGACTGGGAAGGCCGTGACCCACCCACTTTAAGAAAGTTTAACGCGAACCAACTATACTCTTGCATGGAAAGAATCAGCTCAGAAAGGAAGCCGTAGGAAGCGCGCATTTTCAGGTGGTTCCGCGACCCTGACCGTATGCGACTGAGCACGCCATCTTCCCGGGAGTGTGACCCTACAGTGCGGTGCAGGGCGTAAGACAACGGTTCAGCACAACTTCCTACCCTTTGTGTGTGATGCAACCGACATTTTTATGTTCTTTATTTCCGTTCAACTCCGGGTGCTACAGATGATAGCGGTCCGTGCGCTGATAAGCCGGCCGAGATATGAATCTTCGCGTGCACGACAGTGGAGCACGCGTGGGGCGGCCGGTCCGGACCGCCGTCCTCTGGCTGCGGCGCCTGCCCCGACCCGTGCCAGAGCCGGTCCCCTCCCGGCGACGCCGTCTTTGTCCCGTGTCGCTCACCCCGCACAACGGCGGCAGTCAGAACCGGTCCGACCGGCGGCCGACGACCGGGCCGCGCGCCGCCCGGCCCGGCCGCCGCCACTCAGAGCCGGCGCGCGCGCCGCGCCGCCGCGCCGCCAGCCAATCGGCGCCCGGGAGCGCGCTCGCGCCGCTCTCGAGCCGGGGCCGATCGGGCGGCTCGCTGCGCCGCGACGGAGGGCGAGCGGCTCCGCTGGCCTTGGGGGCTGGCGAGCCCCGGCCGGCCGCTCCTGCCTGGACCGCTGCCAGCTGCCGCCACCGCCGCCGCCGAAGCCGCATGCAAATCGGCGACTTGATCTGGCGTCTGGCGGCCGGCGGCGCGCCGGGCCGCGGCCGCTGCACGTGCATGGGGTGGCGAGCGGCCGTCCGCGGCCCGGCCGTGCTCCGGCCGTCGATGGCGGCTAACCTTGCCTGAACTCGGCCGCGGCGCGGGCGGATGACGCCGGGACGCGTCCCGCCCCGCCGCCGCTTCGTGACCTGCGGCGCCGCTCAGCCGCCGTCACGTCCGGGCTCGTCGCGGCGTCATTACCCGGCGCCGCTCCGGCAGCGGAGACACGACGGGCGACGGCGGCGGACCGGCAGCCGGCTCGCGATGTCCGGGGCCGCCGGCGCTCCCGCCTCGCCAGCGGCCGCCGGACGCGGCGCAGCTCTTTGCGACACGCCTTCCTCGGGGATTGTGGACACCGGTCACGTATGTGACGCAGGTCACACACACGCAGTTGACATATGTTACATCATATTGAGTTG